TAATTTGTAACTAGTTGGATCGTGCCCATAATCACTATAACATTAAGTTTCACCTTGCTAAACTTTGTTCAGATCACAACATAAGCTGGTCAAAAATGAATCTCCAAAAGAACAGCTGGGTTCACAGGCTCAGGTAAGTCAAAGTTGGGACTGGCAAATTAGTTAGCGCGATTCCTTCTATTTCTAGATCTTCTAACTAAGTTTACCGGTACTTATCTGAGCTAACGACATGATCACTGTCACTAGATATAAAGAAATCATTGACTTTCACTCGGTGCTATTCACTGGCAGACAGTACAAAAAAAAAGGGTTGTAGTAAGCACTGCTATTTGTAGACCATAGACATAATAAATACATAGACACCCTATTGGCCACTGGAGCGTACGTCAACGGCGCCGCCATATTGGGGAGAGCAACTTTCCCATACCTCTCATACTGGGAATTGAGAAAAATGAGAAAAATGGGGCTGGACAAATTGCCACACAACTGAAAACAGCTTCGAGGAAGTACTTTTCACAAGGCAAGCAAGACTAAACGTTTGTTTTTGGTTGTATTTGGTCATGATTTAATTAGTAATAGTAACGTTTAGAGGATAAATACTACTGTTATTGTGTCACGCAATGTAGTTTTAATAGTTATTCAGTCGACAATGTAGTTGTTTAAAGCTCAAATATGTGGTTTGTTTATAAAGATAGTGCCTATTTAAAAATCTGATCTGAAGTTTTCGGAGTTGTAAGCTGCGCCCCCGCCCAGCGCTCGTCGTCTCCCCCGCCTGGAACAGCCGTACCACGGCCAGTGCTTCTGACGGTTGCCGCTGGTTCGGATGTCTCTAGTCTAGAGGTTAAACACGAGATATAATTCGTATAATTTGTGTTTATCTTTGGTCTCATTAATCTATAAATGGTTCCCTGGTAAATAGTTTTGGCTGAGGGCAACTTTATATTTAGACTATTTATATCCTGCATGTTTGACTGAAGCTACTTCTGTCATAATGGCTAGCCTATTACTGATCAATAAAACTGAAATTTAACAAAAAGAGCTAAATATTAAATATATGTCACTATTTAACTTATTTTTTGTGTGTGTGTATATTCTGTAGTTGAAATGTCTTATTCTATTGCTATTATTATAGCATTATTAATAATAAACTATACTATTATCAATATTTTTATATAATTATACCAGTATTCATTACCATTTTATTTGCTGTATACTATTTGTTCATTTTATTGACTAAACTATTTACTATTACTTCTCACTTTATGTTATAATTACTATTTGCATTGCACTGTATGCCCAGTTGTACCACAACATGTATTATCATAAAGGATCCATCAGTTATCAATTTTATTGCTAAAATCTGGTCAATCACATAAAATGCTTTTTCCACAATGAGCAAACTTAAATATCTCAGTATGGGGGTCTTCGCCATTCTTATCCAAGAGCGTTTTTATGCAGAAAAACGCAACTCGCCCGTTTACTTACATTTAATTACAGTGCAGTCTTGACCTCCGCAAAATGGCGGACCCGTTGACGTATAGCAGCAACGTTCCAAATCCAAAGCGGCCAATAGGGCGTCTATGTATATAATTATGCCTATGTTTGTAGACTAGCTCAAGTGCTCTTTGCTGCGTTGCTAAAATAATAACTGAAACAATGCTAATGTGCTAGTCATATAGAACAATTGTGCTAGCTAGTCGTCTAATGTAATTGTAAACATATGATTTGTGTATGATCGCGGACTAAACGAAACGTTTCTACAAAATAGCTATAGTATTAACAACAGTTAAACAAAAGATCGTTACACCGTACGCGACGCGACGCCGCGACACGCGATAAAAGGTATCTTTCCTAATGTTAATCAGAGTTTTTGTCCTAACCAGACGCGACGGCGACACGCGAAGTTTCTAATTTAGAAACGGTTCCTATTTCTGCGACGTCACACCTGACAGAATGAAGAAATTACACTGGTTATGAGTATATACATCATTTATTTTTAGTTAAAAATAGGTCACTGTGCCACAAGCGATAACTGATAATTTACCTCAGATTTTGAAAGCATGATATAGCGTTCAAAATGAATTCTATGCAAACAGACAATACTACTTCATAACAATATTAGTCAATGAGTAGGCTATATTTTGTCAATGTTTTGTTTTTTTAATAATGTTATTTCTTGATTTGATTATGTCCTTACCCATTTCCAATGCAAGTGCGGGCCAGCAGTGCTGTTCTGATGCGTGGCGGTCTCACAGTCGCGTCGCGTCCAGTGTGGAGTGGACAGACACACTTGCTATCGCTGGAATTTTATCGCGTCGCGTGTAGTTAGGACACGGTGTTAGATCGTAAAAAAAAATGTCATTACCGTATTTATCTCAGCCGAATCCATGGTGGTGGTCAGTAACTGGTCAGTCGGCAAGTATTTCTTCTTTGTTTCATGGCGGGTAACATTCTGTGCTCCAAAACATTGGTGCTGATTGGCCCAAGAGGGAGTCCTGTGCGCCAATTAACTCTATCTATCGATCTGCGCTCGATTGGATGTCTGTCTCAGTAACTTGAATCTGAGTGTGAGAAGTGAATTTTCAGGGAGGATCAAATTGTATTGGACTTCAGTTCCAAACAAATAAATTCAATTTCAAACTATACAATTCAGATTCAGTTTTTGAATAAATTCAATTTTAATTAAACAATCCAAGTGATTTAAATTCAGTTTTTTAAGGTTAGCCATTCAAATTCAATTATAAATGGTTCAAATTAAGTTTCTGGTGGCACATATTTCAGCCCATATCTGCGTGAGTGTGTTTGTGAGATATTGATGAATGATTTTACACTCTCGAGGGAAACGTCACATTAAACTTCACAAAGTTGAGATGGCGTTCTCGTCTGCTGTTCAGGATCGTCGTCACCTGTTTTCTCTCGCACAACTATTTTATTCATTCTTCAGACAGTAGACCGTTCCCAGTTCTTGCATATTGTTCCCGGGGGAGCGTCGCACATTTGTAAAACAAATAGTTGAGATTTGCGGCATCCATCACGGCGCTCGGCCCTGGGAACGCAGACCCGCGAACGCTCAGGCCAAACACATCATCATCTTCAGAGCTATGAGAGTTATGATTCTGCAAACACACATGTGAAAGCGGCCCGTGGGTTTCTGTGGAATTTCCTGCTCGCCGCTCTGAGGTCACGTTTTCACAACCAATTAGCAATAAAGTCAGACTTTCTTAAACGTCTCCAAAAAGTCTAATTGGAAACATATAAAGTCTGTGAGAAATGCCTCTGCTCGTCTCGATCTGGTCACGTGACGAGCTCGGAACGAGTGGAAGAGGAACACAAGCATGATTGTTGTGTAAAAATGACTTTCTAAGTCATAATTATGTCATCAAATGTCGAAATTGATACTTATAACGATGAAACTGAGAAAGTTGAATTATGACCTTTTTGATAATCTCATGATTGTGATTTTGTTTAAATTATATTTAATTATTATGATTTAGCATATCATAATTTTGACTCTTTGGCATAATTTCTATTAGGACACAACATTTGACAATAACCTCATAATTTTAAAACCTTTTCAATATCATCATTTCTACTTTTTGTCATAATTTAGACTTTCTAATCTTATAATTTATTTTATATGTCATAAAAAATGCAACTATTTTCAACTTTAATCTCAAAATTTCTATTTAGTATGTCATAAAAAATGCAACTTTCCAATCTTATCATTTTTAGATTTAGTATGTAATAAAATGTCGACTTTTAATTTCGACTCAAAATTTCAACTTTTAAAATTTCAACTTTTCGATCTCATAACATAATTTATTGTCATGTGATGTATTATCATAATTTTGATTTTTCACTAATCTCATTGATTTAGTATGTAATTTTTTTTAAAAACTTTTTGTTAATTTTGACTTTTTGATTGAATTTCAATTATTTTTGTCATAATTTCAACTTTTTAATCCTACAATTATGATGTAGTATGTCATCAGTCATAATTTCAATTTCTCAATCCTATAATTATGATTTAGAATGCCATAGTTTTGACTGTTAATTTTCTTTATGATGATTTCTCTCTGGAGTGCCATATGAAAAGTGCTTGAATGAGAACGGTCTGCGTCTCGGAGGGGTCGTACAGTAGGAGGAACATCATCAGCGTCAAACACTGTTTTCAGCGGCTCCGAGTCCTGCCCCAAACATCACACGAGTTCACCAGTTCATGAAAACCATCAGGACTGCCATGTCAAACTATCATGAGCGCATTAGAATAACACGCCGGCGGAGAGGGGCCGAGAGACCACATGAAAGCACTTACACTGTCAGCACACGCATGTTATTCTTACATGAGAAGAGGGCCAAGTTAGAGGAACACTTACAATAATATTAGTTCATAAATGCTGTAATAAGCTTATTATGCCTCAGAAATGAACAGAGATTGGTTAACACAAACACATTTATGGCTCATTCTCAGAAAACCTCCCATTGATTAGACTGATGACTCCACTAATAGCGTTCATTTCTTTCACTGGTTAGAGTGCAAGTAAAGTGACTGCATTTTATATCTTGACAAAATAAATTTTACTCGCTTTCAATTCTCTATTTTTCCCCCTAAAATGATTTATTTAATTAATAATGCAAATATGAAAGTGTTTCGAACAGAAGGTTTTTAATCTCATCAAGTTTAGAAATTCAAACTAGTTATAGGGACAGATTCATAAAACAATAACATGATTTGTACATTAAACCATATAAACATAAATGGTCTGCAGCAAACTTCAGAGAAATGCTATTATGAATGATAAATTAATCTCACTAAGAGAGATTTTTACTAAATATAGTGATAGTTGACATTAGAATTTATTCAGTCATCAATTCACTTTATTGGCGTGGTACTTTGAGCCAGAGAAAATATTTTTCTCATATTTTTCACATGAAAACGATCCCGTATGTGTCAGATTTCAACATTAGTTATCCGAGAAAGTCAAGACGACAGAGCAGGAAAAAAGACAAGAAAATATTTATTTCTTCCATCTAGTACAAAACACACAGAAAGCTATAAATATAAATCCCATATAAAGCCCCGATGAAGGTCTGAGGTGATTTGTTCAGAGACAGCGCCACCTGCTGAACATGAAATCACACACACTTTGATTGAATCTGTGCAAAACGTCATGAAATGAAGTGAAGTGATTCAGAATGTCCTCTCCCAGTCTTGACTGGTGAATATGGTTTGTTGATGAGCGTGATGATGTCACGTGCTCCTGCCGCTCATGGCCTGCTGGATCTGCCGGTCGAGCTCGGAGATGATGCGGTCGTCGTGTGTGTAAACGCCGGTGCGCAGGAGTGTGTCTCTCTCCTCCAGCAGACGCGCCACGTGCTCGTCCGCGCTCACATGCTCGTCTGCGCGCTCGCTCACGCACACGCGCGCCGCCTCCTCCTGCTGCTTCAGCCTATCAATAACACACACTCGTGTCAATAACACAGTTTAATGCTCAGCTATTGAGACAGACTGATTTAGACAAAACAATTATTATTCATCGACAGCAAAAAGATCTAAAATGGACCAAATTACCCGATTAATTAACAAGGCTGATATATCGATCTCTCTCTCCGCTATTAAAGGGACAGTTCACCCAAAAAGGAAACGTCTCTGGTTACTGGTGTAACCCATGTTCTCTGAATAGGGAACGAGACGCTGCGTTCGCTGACAAGACAAACGCAAGACAAGCACAATTTATGCTCTTGTTCAACATTAAACATCGGAATATCAAGTAGTTGGAAGATCGATGGGTGAATTTAAGTGTTTCACTTCAGTAATGCTCATGTGACTCAGGCCACACCCACACCACTACGCTTTAGAATAGAAAGAGAGTGTTTGCTACGTTTGCACTCGCGTCCAGACTAAAGCGGCTACATGGAGCGGCCGTGTGACGTGACGGCGTAACGTTACGATTATAACGTAAGACTATAGAAACAATGATAGACATTAGCTTCAGCAAAGTTAGCGTCAGTAAAGTTAACGTCAATAAAGTTGACGTTAGCAAAGTTAGCGTCAATAAAGTTGCCGTCAGCAAAGTTGGCGTCAGCAAAGTTGGCGTCAGCAAAGTTAGCGTCAGAAAAGTTAGCGTCAGCAAAGTTAGTGTCAACAAAGTTGGCTTCAGCAAAGTTGGCGTCAGCAAAGTTAGCTTCAGCAAAGTTAACGTCAGTAAAGTTAGCGTCAGCAAAGTTAGCGTCAGCAAAGTTGGCGTCAGCAAAGTTGGCGTCAGAAAAGTTAGCGTCAGCAAAGTTAGTGTCAATAAAGTTGACGTCAGCAAAGTTAGCTTCAGCAAAGTTAACGTCAGTAAAGTTAGCGTCAGCAAAGTTAGCGTCAGAAAAGTTAGCGTCAGCAAAGTTAGTGTCAACAAAGTTGGCTTCAGCAAAGTTGGCGTCAGCAAAGTTAGCGTCAGTAAAGTTAGCGTCAGCAAAGTTAGCGTCAGTAAAGTTGGCGTCAGCAAAGTTAGCGTCAGTAAAGTTAACGTCAATAAAGTTGGCGTTAGCAAAGTTAGAGTCAATAAAGTTGACGTCAGCAAAGTTAGCTTCAGCAAAGTTAACGTCAGTAAAGTTAGCGTCAGCAAAGTTAGCGTCAGAAAAGTTAGCGTCAGCAAAGTTAGTGTCAACAAAGTTGGCTTCAGCAAAGTTGGCGTCAGCAAAGTTAGCGTCAGCAAAGTTAGCGTCAGTAAAGTTAGCGTCAGCAAAGTTAGCGTCAGTAAAGTTGGCGTCAGCAAAGTTAGCGTCAGTAAAGTTAACGTCAATAAAGTTGGCGTTAGCAAAGTTAGAGTCAATAAAGTTGCCGTCAGCAAAGTTAGCTTCAGCAAAGTTAACGTCAGCAAAGTTAATGTCAGCAAAGTTAGCGTCAGCAAAGTTAACGTCAGCAAAGTTAATGTCAGCAAAGTTAGCGTCAGCAAAGTTAATGTCAGCAAAGTTAGCGTCAGCAAAGTTGGCATCAGCAAAGTTAACGTCAGAAAAGTTAGCGTCAGCAAAGTTAGCGTCAGCAAAGTTAGCGTCAACAAAGTTGGCTTCAGCAAAGTTGGCGTCAGCAAAGTTGGCTTCAGCAAAGTTGGCGTCAGCAAAGTTAGCGTCAGTCAGTAAAGTTAGCGTCAGCAAAGTTAGCGTCAGCAAAGTTAACGTCAGCAAAGTTAGCTTCAGCAAAGTTAACGTCAGTAAAGTTAGCGTCAGCAAAGTTAGCTTCAGCAAAGTTAACGTCAGCAAAGTTAACGTCAACAAAGTTGGCTTCAGCAAAGTTGGCGTCAGCAAAGTTGGCGTCAGCAAAGTTAACGTCAACAAAGTTAACGTCAACAAAGTTAGCTTCAGCAAAGTTAACGTCAGCAAAGTTAACGTCAACAAAGTTAGCTTCAGCAAAGTTAACGTCAGCAAAGTTAACGTCAGCAAAGTTGGCGTCAGCAAAGTTAACGTCAGCAAAGTTAGCTTCAGTAAAGTTAGCTTCAGCAAAGTTAGCGTCAACAAAGTTAGCGTCAGTAAAGTTAACGTCAGTAAAGTTAACGTCAGTAAAGTTAACGTCAATAAAGTTAGCGTCAACAAAGTTAGCGTCAGTAAAGTTAACGTCAGTTAAGTTAACGTCAGTAAAGTTAACGTCAGTAAAGTTAGCGTCAGTTAAGTTAACGTCAGCAAAGTTAGCGTCAATAAAGTTAGCGTCAACAAAGTTAGCGTCAGTAAAGTTAACGTCAGTTAAGTTAACGTCAGTAAAGTTAACGTCAGTAAAGTTAGCGTCAGTTAAGTTAACGTCAGCAAAGTTAGCGTCAATAAAGTTAGCGCCAGTAAAGTTAACGTCAGCAAAGTTAACATCAGTAAAGTTAGCAACATTCATTGAGAGTAAATGTCCGCTTTTGGGGTTTGTAGTCTTTGATATTACGTATTTTCACAGTCTTACACCTCAACGGTTTAACTGCGTCTTTCTTGACGTATATGCATATTTTAAATTGACAAACATCATGTGTAACTCAGGGCACAATTCAAACGAGATCAAAATATTTGTCGTTTCTTGCCATTGATTACCATACAATATTTTTCAGAATTTCCTATGTGGTCTTCCGGAAGGGGAGGGGCTTAGGCTCTCTATAGTCCAACTGTGTCCAACTGACGCGCTCATGCCCAGTGTTGGTGAATGGTCACGTGATCAGCGTTTTCAGTCGTTTTAATGTCAATTTTTGAATCGGTAACATATTTGATGTTTTTAAAAGAAGTCTTTTCTGCTAACCAAGGCTGCGTTTATTTGATTAAAAATACAAAAAAAGTAGTGAAACATTATTATAATTTAAAACAGCTGGCTGTGTATGTGAATATAGTAAAGTGTAATGTTATTATTCTGAATTACCTGTTGAGCTGGTTGCGTATGTCCTGGAGCTCGTGCTTGTCGCTGGTGACGGCCTCCTTCTCTTCGGACGCCAGGTACCGAAGCCTCATGTGCTCCAGCTCCTGCTGCTGCTTCTTCAGGCGTGTCATGGCGTTCTCCTGCTCACGCTGAACACACACACACACACACACAGGACTGTTAGACAGATCGTACACTAATGAACAGGAGAATGTGAGCGCTGTGAGCTCAGGCGTTTTAGAGTCCAACACCATCTTATCACACACATTCACACTGAGATACAGCTTTAAAAATATAAAAGAATAGTCAACAACGGCACGATAACGACAGAAACACTTTCAGAGCGACTTTTTCCAGCTGACGAGCGATAAAAACATCGACAGCCAATCAGAATCCACAAAGCTCGAGCATCTAAACTCCAGTACAGGACTTGCTGCTTCCCATACACAGACGACACGCAGACATGCTGCCAAGTGAACTACTTTCATTCCCAAAACAATTGAGTATTGGGATGGGAAACATGAAATCTGACGGTTGAACAGTTTTCCAGCAGCGCATCGATATAAGCGTCTGGTTATAACTCTTGATTGGACTGATGGTCAGTGTTTTCTGAGCAGTCCAGTAGCTTTAACAATACATGAACGCTATTAGACGTTGTCCTAGTTTTAAACTCTCAGACGGGATCAGATTATTTTGTGCATAATTATAATTTTCTTTTTTTATTGAACTGGGCCAATCTCATGTGTTGGAGGTCATCTCATTCAATTAGCGGTTTTCCTGATGCGTTACAACACAGTATCTCATTCACTGGAGCGAGAAGAAAAGTGCAAGTAAAACAAACACACTTAGATGTGGCCTTGACTTACAGCCAACCGTCTGCTGGAGGAACACACACACTTATCCTGAAGATTTGAGTTTCCTTCGCTACCCGTGAAGCGCTCCCAGAGTTCTCGTTTGGTGTGTGTGTGTGTGTGTGAGGATGGCTTGTGTAAACACACGCGTGACCAGAGAATGACCCGTCTCGACGCGACTCAAGAACAGTTTTCTGCAGAGACTCGTCCTGACGAAGCGTTGGGGCCGTTTCACGGCAGGAAGTCCTCCAGAAACAGATCTGAACACAAACATGCGCTCTGACGTCGCAAAGATCTGAACACAGACTTTTAATGTTTTAAAAAGAAGTCTCTTCTGCTCACCAAGGCTGCGTTTATTGGATTAAAAATACCAAAAAAACTGTAATATTGTGAAATATTATTCTAATGTCAATCATCTGTTTTCTATGTGAATATACAGTAAAGTGCAATTTATTCCTGAGATCAAAGCTGTATTTTTAATCAAATAAACGCAGCCTTGGTGAGCAGAAGAGACTTCTTTAAAAAACTTTAAAAGTCTCCCCGATCCGAAACGTTTGCTGTTAGTGTGTGTGTGTGTGTGTGTAGTGTTTCTACTACTAAGTTACATATTGAAGTGAAAAACGACGCACTTAAATTCCCCCATCGATCTTCCAACAAGCCAACTTGATATTCAGATGTTTAATGTTGAACATAATACACGCCTGATTTATAGTTCAATATCATATGCAGTTATGGAGGCCGCGGAGCGCCATGAATCATCCGATGTTTTGGTTGTGTGTATCTGGCGCAGACGCTGCAGCTGGTGTGTGTCTGCAACAGTTATTAGCGGCTGATAGCGCTGGTGTTTACACTGCACTGGTCCCGTACTGGCCTTACTGGTGATGTTTCACTGCGGCTCGTGACAGCTCACAGTTCCTCCATGTTTTATTTCCATGAGAACTCGTTCGAGACCGCAGGCTGACTGGATCCAGAGCACAAACTCAAGCCTATTTTTAGAGCCATTAAGACTTTTAACATTGAGAGATTATTTCATGACAACGAGGCACATTTACACCAAACTCTCATGACTTTCTCATTTATGGGGAAAACATATTTAAATGATAAAGAATGTACTATTACGCTCTTTGTTGTACTGGGTTTATGCTGATTTAAATATGTATTTTATAAGACTTAAAATAAATTTATATTTAAAAATCTGAATACAGTAAAAAATTAAATATATAATATTTTTACAATTCTTTTGTAGTAAATAAATATATTATGTATAATAAAAAAATTATAAGTATTTTAGTATAACTTGAATACTTAAAAATATGTATTATAATTTAAATATATATAAACACTTTTAAAGTATTTTAGTATAACCTGAATAGTTAAAATGTTTGAATATATTTATAATATTTTACAAATATTTTTAAGTATTTTAGTATAACTTGAATATCTAAAACAGTTTACATATATATTTATAATATTTGTAAAAACTATAATATTTTAAAAGTACCTGTAGTATAACTTTAAAAATATATAAAATGTATAATAAATAAATACTACATTCAAGTTGTACTAAAATATAGTAAAATCATCCAGACGCATTGCAGTCATGACAATCAGAAGTTAAAATCTTTAATTGTCATAAATATAATATCACAGTATTAATAGTAATTTTCTTTATGCAAAATACACATTTTTGGTGTGAGATTTGGGGACACGTTGTCATGAGATTGGCCCAGTTCACAGCATTTTCTCATAATTATGCACAAAATAATCTGATCCTGTCTGAGACTTCAAAAATACAGTATGTCTGATAACGTTCATGTATCACCACAGCCGTGTGGAAGCAACAGGAGTACAGTAGATCATCATCATCATCATACCTGCTTAAACCTGGCCAGCTCCTTCAGGGCTCGTCCCCACTGCTGCTTATAATGGAGTTTAGATTTAGTTGCCGATTCCAGTTTCCTCTCCAGTTCCACCTTGATAATAAAAGCGTATGAGCAGGCTCTCAAAACAGACACTGTTTATACATACATATATGTGGTTTGCTGATCAGTGTGGTGTGTGTGACCTTCTCGAGGGTCATCAGGCTGATCTCGGACTGCAGACGGGCCTCGGGCCGCACGCTCTGCTGATCCCGGAACTGCTGGAACTCCTTCTCCAGACGCTGCCGCTGACGCTCAGACTCCTGCGTCTTTAAGAGTGAAAACAACATGATCACTGAATGCAAAAAATATCACCCTATAAAGCTTGACATATAGTCCAAAAACATTTCTTAATCTTAATTAATACATTTGTAATTGTTAAAATCAAGATTTTATGGCTCATATTGTTTGATATCGTGAGCAAACATCTCAGTTATGTTCAGAGGAATAATATGCAAAAATAGCAACGATAAAAATTATATATATATAAATCAGATCAACGTGTGATCGTCAACCAGTGGATCTCTGAGTGAGTGAGTGGAGGCGGGGCTCATTTGCATATTCATAGAAAAGCGCATACTAAATGAGCCGAGGGTGTCGAGTTACATTCAAGATATTTTAAGGAAAAAATATTTAAATATGGTGCATCTCTCACCAATTTTATGAACTAAAGCCAATAAAGGCTTTTTAACTTTTGTATACACAAGTCAAGTGCCTTGGAGTATTACTCTGATTTAAATATGTAATTTTGGTGATCAAAGATTTAAAAAGTACTTTAAAACAACGTACTGAAATACAATGATGACTGAGAGATGAACAAATAAACCTTCATGATCAAGCGAAGCTGCTTCAGTCCAGCTGAAATATTAATATCAGTGTTATGAATGTGTTTGCTGGATTAGATCAGGTCAGAGACCCAGAAGGACTGGTGGAGCTGGAGGAGACGCTGGGACAGTCACACACCTTTACTGGAGGAAGAGTGCAGATGATCACACACTGAAGAGTGTGTCATCAGAGATTAAATATAATACAGCAGATTTATAGGGTTCATTCGCTAAAATCTGATGAAATACTCAGACATTTTCCCAGGCTCACTGCGAGTTTAAACTGTGTGTGTGTGTGTGTGTGTGTGTGTGTCAGAGCAGCGCATCCATCAGCTCGCGAGCGGCTACCGCTGAAACACTTCAAGAGTGTTAGACAGCGTCCAGTCCAACTAAAACCTTACAAGCGCTCTCCATCCTCGCTCGTCTGACAGAACGCAGGCGGGCCGCTCTGACACTCGGCGGCTGCGGCGCGCAAACGAGCAGATCCTGTCCAGAAAGAGGAGGATTCTGCCTGGATAAACCGGTTAGTGTGTGTCGACGCGGGACAAATGTGTGTTTACGCGGTGCTGACACCAGAGGGAAGGCGGTGTACACGCCGACGCGCTCTCATCTCCTCTTTCGCATGTCAGAAACCTACTTTGCTTGATTTGTTAGCGCTGCGCCGGGCCAGATGTTTTCTGGGTAGTGAGACGGCAGGCTGCAGTATTTCAGGAGCCGGCTGTCTGAGCCGAGAGCTGGAGACGCGAGAGATGCTCAACAGGAAGCAGACGCTGGATCTCACAGCAGAAAACTCTGCTGATTAATTACAGCAGCGGATAACGAGGACTTCTGGGACGCACAGATGACAATAACAGACAGTCACCATCATCTTATAAAATCTTTCCTATTCGAAACTTTTGACTGGTAGTGTGTGTGCGCATATATATATATAACTAACTAACTAATAACTACCAATCAAAAGTTTTGGATTGTTAAGATGTTTAATGTTTTTAATAGGGCTATCAAACGATTAATCGCATCCAAAATAAAAGTTTGTGTTTATATGTGGGTGCACTGTGTGTAATTAATTTGTGTATATATAAATACACACAAATGCATGTATATTTAAGGAAAAAATACTATTTGTATATAAAATATTTATATTTATATATAATATAAATCTATATACATGAAAATATTTCTTAAATGTATACAAGCATGTGTGTGTATTTATATATATTTATAATAATAATTATACACAGTGCACCCACATTTAAACACAAACTTTTATTTTGGATGCGATTAATCGTTTGACAGCCTTAGTTTTTAATAAAAGTCTTTACTGTTCAACAAGGCTGCATTTATTTGATTAAAAATACCACAAAAAAAAAACAGCATTATAGTTAAACATTATGACAATTTAAAATAACTTTGTATTTTAAAATGTAATCTATTCCTGTGATCAGAAATCATTCTAATATGCGGATTTGATGCTTAAACATATTCTTTTCATCAACTAATCCTGAAATAAAAATGTAAATAACAGTTTTTAACATTGATAATAATCATAAATGTGTGTTGATCATCAGATCCTCATATTAGAGTGATTTCTGAAGGATCATGTGACACAGAAGACTGGAGTAATGATGCTGAAAATCACAGGAATAAATTACACTTAAAAAATGAAAAAATAATTAAATGGTTATTTTAAATTGTCATAATATTTAACTATATATATATATTGTATTTTTAATCAAATAAATGCAGCCTTGTTGAACAGAAGAGACTTCTTTTAAAAACATAAAAAATAACTATCCAAAACTTTTGACACACACGCGCACACACACTACCAGTCAAAAAATTTGGATTGGTAAGAATTTTAGTGTGTGTGTGTGTCTGTGTAGCAATAAATTAAAGTGCGTCTTCAAAACCAGATGAAATCCAGACTTAATGTTTTCAAGAAACGCCGACACAGATTTCAGATCAGCACACAACATATTCATATATCATATAAACCTTCATATATTATTAGGGATGCACCGATATGAAAAATTTGGCCGATAATGATAATTCTTTATAATTGAAAGCCGATAAATCTGAATCCAAATGTTAATATAATTTTTTAGAGCCTGATTACAAAAACAAAAGTCTCATCATTAAATCCATGTCTCAAAACACACAATTATAATGTTCTCATCATAATTTCATGTATCCGATATGATGGGACATTCTGCATTTATGGTATTTTGCTTTTTTTTAAGTGATTTCAATCATATTTTAAGCAATTCAAAACCATCATGGAGAACATGGTCCTACTGTTATAGAGTCACATGACCAGAACAATATCACTGGCTTTCGTTCAGATGTGTACGTGACCTTTAGATGAGGGTCAGAGTTCTGATCTTACTTTTCTTCCCGCCACACATGCACAATATTTTATGATGCGAAATTATTGTAAACAGTGAGTTATGTGAAACCTCATCAAAAATATTTCCTTTTCCTCGAAGCCCTCTTTCCTCGAAGTCTTTAGAGCACTTATTTGCGTCGTTTGACTTTTAATGACGATCCGCTTGCCGTATTCCTCATTTGTAAGACGCTTTGGATTTAAGTGACTCATAAAGAAGGTCCACACACACACACACACACACACTCGGCGTCTGCTAAATGACTAAATGTAACGGCACGTCACGTGACCTAAGCTCAAGATCACACCTCTATATCACTAGATTACCAGTAAACCACTTCACTTAAGAACGGGTGTGTTAGCGAGTGTTGACATCAGTCAGTGATCCAGCAGGCGTGACCTCTTGACCTCACGACCCCAGGGGTCACCAGGCCCCTCCCAGCTCACGCTTCCAGAAGGGCACAGGTCGTGTCCACTGTGTTTGCCGCGCTCACCTGCTGTCGCTGCCGGGTCAGCTGATCCTCGAGCTGCCTGACCTTTGACCTCTCCAGCTCCACCTGGTGGTCGCAGTCCTCTCGCAGACGCCGGCTGCTGTCCTGAAGCTCCCGCATGCTGAACTCGTGTTCGGCTCGCATCTCGCGCTGGAGTCTCTGCGTCTAAACCAGCACAGCCACAGTCAGACAGCAGTCCCCCCAGTTCACACGCTAGCCGACAGCGACCCCTCACCTCGGTCTCCGCGTGAGCCAGCGCCCTCTCCCTCTTCTCCAGGTCCGACAGGGTCTTCTGAAGCTGCTCCTCCAGCAGACTGTACTCCAGCTCCTAGGGAACAACAGCTGATAAACCACACTGCAGATCCCCATCATCCGCTCTCGTCACGCTTCAGCCGCTAAACCAGCAAAGCCCATATTGAGCGTTTGTGGAAGGACTTTTATTTTGACAGCACTGAGAACGCATTCTCTGCCTTTGATTTCCACCATGAAAAAATACTATTTAAAAAAGGGAATTGCATTTTTTTCTCTTGCAATTCCAAGTTTACATCCACAACACTTTTCAGAATAAACTTAAAAATAATTAGTAGAAACACACATGAGTCAGTGTGTGTGTGTGTGTGTGTGTGTGTGTGTGTACCTTCTTCTTGATGAGAGCCTCTCTCTGCTGGTCTCTTCTCCTCCATTCCTCCGCCAGCGCCTGCATGTGACTCAACTCCTTCTGCTTCAGCTGAACACACACACAAAGTCAAAACTTTAATAAAAAATAAAAAATAAATAAATAAATAAATAAAAAATTCAAAATTACTTTTAACCCTAAAATCGTATTCTTTGATTTATTTTTAAAAAATACTTCCCTTGATCTGAGCGGTACAAGACTTGGCTACTTTTCCTAAGTTTGCCTCCTGAATACACTATTATTATTTTTTTTGACTCAATTCTACAATGTTAAGTGGGTGGAAAAAAAAACCTCCCTTTTGTATTTGGGTCAAAAATGGGCACCCATAGAAATGAATGGGAAAAACTGTAATTTAGAGCATTCTAAAATAAGCCAAAATAAGACAGCAAAGTCACTTCATCTTTAAGTTTTAGCTCTAAGAATTTATTCGAATGATATTTTAATCTAGTTAAAAAAAAAACTATATAGTAATTAATTTACAGTACATAGAAATAATTTACATAGAAAATATGGTACTTTTTTGGAGTAAATAAATTCAAAAATACCCCCAAAATAAAGAAAAACACCACAAATGGATAGACAAAACTTTATCAAAGACAGTGATATAACATTTATAATAAATAAAAAATTAGGATCACACCCGAGTCCTCTGTGCCCACATTTGTCCACAATAACAGGATTAAGGGCTATAAAGTGAATACGGTTTGAGGATTAAGCTTTATAGCTGTTAAACAAAGTAAACGTTATAGAAAAAAGGATTAGTAAAGCACTAAAAAAAAATCTATTCAAACATTTTTCCTCACAATCCTGAGTTTATATCTCACGAGATCATGAAACTGATGGTAATTTGAGCAGTAAAAGACTGAACATGTTTCAGACCTGATCATCAAACATGTCTTCCTGCATCTCCTTCCACATCTCCAGCTCCAGCGCCGCCTTGTACTCCAGCGTCTCTCGAGGCCGCGTGAGTGTTTCCGCCCCCCCGCCACCTGGAACCACTGCGGCCTGCAAACATTACCCACAATCCTCCTGTTCAGGCCACATTAACATTCACAGATCTGAAGAAACAGGAAAGCGCTGGCGCTTGCAACGCCAACGTCATGGTTTTGATTCCCAGAGAAAGAAAGAACTGATAAGAATGTAAATATGGAGCTTGAAATGCAATGTAAGTGACTTTGGATAAAAGCGTAAATGTAAACATCAGATACAGCACCTGTGAGGATTCAGAGACGAGGATTTCCTGAGCGTTCACCAAACCCAGATCTTCAAGAACGCTCATGTAACAGAGTTCAGCCAACGCCTCAGACCTGCAGACACAGAAAACAGTACAAATAAAATACAACAATAAAAATAAAGTTTATAAGGATTAGTTAAAATGAAGAAAAACATTAAATAAAAAAAACATTGTGAAATATTATAGTGAAATATTATATATATATATATATATATATATATATACATATATATATGAAGAGTTCAGATGCAAAAGCCTCTAAATGCCATTTGAAATTTTCTTCTTTAATGATGATTTTTATCAAACTTGTATATTTAATTTCAGTAATTTCACTTAAATAACAATTAATAGGTAATTATCATTGCCATTTAAGTGAAATTACTGAACTTAAATATACAAGTTTGATAAAAATTATCATTCTAGAAGAAAATTTCAAAAGGCACTTAGAGGCTTTTGCATCTGAACTCTTTATATATAGACTGATCAGATGAAAAAAAAAAATCCTTTTTATATCTAGAAAATATCTAGTTACATTCAATATATTTTAAGAAAAAAACATTTAAATGTCATTTTGATGTTCAAAGACAAGTTTTAAGGGATTGACTACAGGGATTAGACGGACAGTTCGTCCAAAAACCATCATTCTGTCATCATTTATTCGCCCTCATGTTTCCTCATTCTGCAAAACACAAAAGAAGACTCAGTAGAATGCATTAGTGTTTTAGTCCATACACTAAGTCAACAGGCTCTAATGTTCTCTGGCTCATTAAACGTCGTCTTTTATGCTGTGAAAAAGAAGAAGTGATGACAGAATGTGTATTTTTGGGTGAACTGCCCCTTTAAGAGAAACGCAGCCTCACTTAGATAGATATTCCACATTGTGTGTTTCGAGGCCGCCATCTAGAGGTGAGAGCCGTGTGCTGCGCCGACTGAGCAGAATATGATCCAACAACTCAATATAGACCTGTAAACTCTATTATTAATCGCCAGTGATATACTAACTTCATCTGCATGCATAGTGCCAACTACCTTAGATACGAACTCGAAGCGTTCATGAATTACAACTATTAAAGGGACAGTACACCTAAAAATGCAAATTATGTCAGTAATTACACCTCATGGCGCACAGAAAGTATTCTCGTTGCTATATCTTTATTTGTGTTCTGAAGATGAACGAAAGTCTTACGGGGTTGAACATCATGAGGGCGAGTCATTACTGACAGAGTTTTCATTTGAGGGTGAACTATCCCTTTAAGGCGAGTGTGTGTTTGAGGACAGGGCCTGAGGTTACACACACACCCGTGGGCTTTAATGATGGGAACCCTCTCAGTACAGCTCTGCCTCCAGCGCTGCCGGCCCGACGGGTCTAGGAACCGGGTCTTCTCCGAGCTGAGGAGGCGGGACAGCTGAATACTGACAGAACCCAGCAGAACATCAGGAGAACCGGGCTCTCGGTGCCACATCTCCACCAGCAGAGGAACCCTGAACACACACCAACAACATCAAGGATCTGCAAATGGCTAGATGCCGCTAAATTACACGCTGCACCTTTAAGAAAGAAATTCAAAACCGTATGTTTTCAGCCGTTTCGCCAGGCGACGCACCTGAGGAACGTGTCCTGAAGCTGATTGGGCAGCGCGGCGAAGTCGAAGGCACAGAAGGACTGTGGGAGAAACACCTCCGTGTTCTTCTTCACCTCCACCGCCGGACTCGTCATGATGGGAGACGCGCTGCCGAAGAACTGGTACGCGTATCTGCAACCGGAGGAAACCGCGTGATTAATAATACGTAATACCTTAGAAGAGTCCGTTCATGTTTTTGTAGGGCTGGCAATCAATCAGATGATACAAGATGTTTCGACTCAATGACTCAATTTAATACAAATCCTATATTTATAAAAAAGAACAGTGAACTTAGATTTACAAGGGGAAATGAAGAGCCACAACGAGGAGACGTGAGCGCACCTGAGGATGCAGTTGACCGGGAAGCTGGTCCTGAGGTCCCGAACGCTGCGCAGGTCCAGCGAGAAGCAGAAGTGATGAGCCGACGCCGGGATCGAGATCTTAGGAGCCGAAACAGACACTGAAGAATCTGCATCAGGAACTTCTGAAAACACTACACAGATAACCATACGCGTTACTATAATGCTGTACCATCACACTGACAACACACACACACTCACGAGTAAACAAACTACAAATGTCTTTGAAACATATGTATTCATTACACAAAAATATTCACCCCCTCACAGTCGCCATGAAGGACAAAATTAGCAATATAGACCAAAACCACTTTACTGTAAACATGTTTTCCTGCTGTAAACTTGGGCATTTTAACATGGAGGTCTATGGGAGTGAGTCTCTAGTGGCCAGTGGAGGAACTGCAGTTAAACAGAGAGAGAGAGAGAGAGACACCAGAAAGTTGCTGCTGAAAGTTGAAAACTTGCCATGTGTTGTGGGCGGGGCCAGTCTGTCATGATCTGTGGGCGTGGCCTGTCTGTCATGATCTGTGGGCGGAGCCCGTCTCTCTCGCTCTGTGGGCAGGGCCTGTCTCTCATGATATGTGGGCGGAGCCTGTCTGTCATGATCTGTGGGCAGAGCTTCCCTGTCATGATCTGTGGGCGGAGCCTGTCTGACATCACTGGTCAGGCTCTCGGCCTCGCTCTCTGAGTGCTCAGGAGAAGCAGCCGGAGACAGAAGAGGCCGGTCATGTGACTTCCTGTCGGGCGACGGGCTCATCGGGACTCGATGTTCACGACCGCCGGCCGGAGCGGGGCCTTTCTTCACTGGAGTTTTAGGTCCGGTTTCAATGTCTAACTGTTTAAAAAAAAAAAAATCTGTTAAAACACTGAAATAATAAGATGGGTTTAGTCAAACCGCTCATTATTCAGACTCCAGATATGATGTTGATATGTTCCACTAGTGTGTTCAGGACACTATAGTTGATTTGTGTAAGTGAGGAGAGCAAAATAAAGTAAAGTGTGCCATATTCCAGCCAAATCTTCTTCATCCAGTGACTACAGTAACAATGATTCCTCCACTTTGAGCTGAAGTGTGTTTTCTGCTCTTTTTACACACACACTGAACAACATGAAGCATTGCTTGAGCTAAACTGCTATTATCTAATTGTGGAGTTCAATTGAACGGCTGACAGATATTCAACATAATTCATGTGTGAGAGTCCAACAGAAGGACGGACAAAACCAGTCCAATATCAAACACTGAGTTCTGCTCACATTTATCACCGACTATAGCCAATACACTGATCATGGGGGACATGAGGCTGAGTATATTCTGGTTTGACTGTATAATAACGCGTGTCGTATGCTCCACCTGACGAGTGAGATCCTCGGCTCTCAGAGTCACCGAGACGCCCACCGTGGGCTGGAGGTCCGGCGGGACCGGCTTCAGGTCCAGCTTCACCCGGTTCGGGGGCTGAAGGATGAAGGCGCCCTCTATAGTGGCCGGATGTTTGGCCAGATCAGCGCCGCTCTTCATTAAACCGGCCAGACTGACGTCAGTGCTGCCCAGAGACTGGTTTCCACAGCAGAGATGGATCTGTGTGCAAAACACGAGCTACATCACAACCTGCACGTTCATCACTATTAGTCCAGTCAAGCAACGTTTATCTATATAACGCTTTTTACAGCACAGAGTGAGTGTCACAGCAGCTTTACAGAGATAACAGGACAATAATGCAAGAAAGTTTGTGTCTGGAAGAGAATATAGTCACAGTCCAGCTTAAAGGAGTAGTTCACTTTTAAAAACTCACCCCCATGTCATCCAAGATGTCCACGTCTTTCTTTCTTCAGTCGAAAAGAAATAAAGGTTTTTGATGAAAACATTCCAGGATTTTCTCCATATAATGGACTTCAATGGGGTCCAAACGGTTCAAGGTCCAAAAGAGAGTTTCAGTGGAAACCGTTCAAAGGGCACGTTCATGACTCTCCTGTTCGAACTCGTTCATCAAAATGAACGAATCTTTTTCTGAGTCATTTGGTTCACTCAACGAACGAATTGACTCGGAAAAAGATTCGTTCATTTTGATGAACGAGTTCGAACAGGACATTTGAGTTCAAACGTTTGAGCTTATAAAACGTAAACTTTGTTATTTATTTATTAAATGAGCGATCGTTTCGCTTGATAAGACCCTTATTCATCGTCTGGAATCGTTTAAAGCCCTTTGAACAGTTTGCACTGAAACTCTCATTTGGACCTTGAACCGTTTGGTCCCCATTGAAGTCCATTATATGGAGAAAATCCTGGAATGTTTTCATCAAAAACCTTCATTTCTTTTCAACTGAAGAAAGAAAGACGTGGACATCTTGGATGACACGGGGGCGAGTAAATTATCAGCTAAAGTTTTTTCAAAAGTGAACTCCTCCTTTAATTCAGTTCAGTGATGCTTCATTTTGTAGTATAATAGTTATTAATCTAGCTCATTTACATTTATTTATATATATATATAGTCAGCTCAGTTCAGTTCTTGTATAATAGTATCAATGCAGGAGATCAATAATATTGCTGAATATTAAATTTAATGTCCCCAACTAATCAAGCCGAGGCAAAGGCGACAGTGGAGGAACCGAAACTCCATCAGAGCCAGAATGGAGGAAAACCCTTAAACCAGACTCAGTCACTCAGTTCTGCTCTGGCCAATGAGTGAACAGTGTATGATTATGATAATGATTCAGGAGTACTACAGGTCATAAGTCAGATTCTCGATGATCACGATGGTGATGTTCACCTGGAGACACGGCTGCTGGCTGAGGAAGAGGCGGAGGACCCGGTCGCTGCTGCGGATGCGTACGGACGCTCGCTCCGGCTCGAAGTTTGGACTGAGGAGGTTCTGGAACGGTTCGCTGGTGACGTCGTTCCCCAGTAGAGTGTAATAGAAGAAGAACTCGGACCCCTCAACGGACAGCTTAGTCGAGCTGGAGATCAACTGAAGAACAGAAAACGTGTCGTATTGTGTTAAGTTGTGCATATTCTCCATTGTTGCGGCTCCTCTCTTCCCAGTCTGTCAGTAACGCTCGGTTTACTTCCTGTCTCTATGAAGCCCCGCCTTCTGAAAAGCACACTGCGCTATGATTGGTCAGCTGGAGCAGTGTGTTGTGATTTGTCGAGCGCTTCGAATGTGTTTGGGAAATGCCCCGCCCCGCCCCTTTCCATAACCGCCAGTTTAACACACTACTAACTAACTCAGCCAGGCCCCGCCCCTTTATTCTGCGCATTAATTATTATAATGAGGAACATTGTGACGTTTCAGGCGTTCAGGAACACTGACACTGATATAGAGGAGAACTGGAGCTTCAACATCACACACTAAACACAGATGAGGATGAGGAGAACACAATAGATCCTCTTTAAAACATCACATTAGACTCCTGTACCTGCTCCAGTTTAGTAGCAAACGCAACCGTCACCGACAGCACAAACATGTCAGCGCAGAGATCCGCAGGTCCGATCTGATGAAACGCTTCTTCCTCGTTCAGAACCGCAGTGAGTTTAGCAGCTTCTAGAGGAGCCGGCGCTGGAGAACCTGCGGGCGGTCGAGAGAGAGAGAAAGACGTCATCATTACATTAACCAAGTTGTTTTAGTGGAGTTATCATTTTAGAAACTTATTGGAATAATTGCACTGATGAATCTTTCACCACAACAGCAGGTATAATTACATGTTAATTTCATGTTGATTCCAACAATGACGAACTGAACGAGCGAAAACTGTGTGGAAAAACAAGTGTGCAACTCACACACACACACCTTACCAATAGAATCGCCATTGGCTAGTATACAATTATATGATTCCACCAAATCAGGTTATCTTTGTCAAAATATTTCAACATACACTTTTAACATCAGTTGAGCATCATATTACGATATTATAATACCGTGTGTAAAATAAGTGTATCTCACAGCATACTCTCTTGTGATGCTCACTCAAAAGTATGCACTTTTTCTTCACAAAAAGAGTACATGCTTTTAGGGCGTAGTATGAGTGGGCGAACCGAGACGAGGGTTAGTAGGACGTGAAGCTTTGCAGCCGGTCAACAGAAGCAGAGAACAGGAGGATTATGGGAAGGAAAGGAGGACGTGCACCTGCTCTCGGCGGAGCTTTCTTGGCCTTGAACGTCTCCGCGGTCGGCTTGGTGTCGTTCTCTAGGATCACCCCGATCAGGAGCGCGGGTTTGAGTTTCGTGTATTTGCTGCTGAGCAGAGGATACCATTTAGGAGCCTGAAGAACACACACACACACACACGCGGGTTACAAACACAGACACAGGAGAACCTACACACTCTGCTCATCAAAGTTGCATTTATTTGATCAAAATACAGTAAAACAGTGAAATATTATTCTAATGTGAATCATCTGTTCTCTATGTGAATAAAGTGTAATTTATTCCTGTGATTTTCATCATCATTACTCCAGTCTTCAGTGTCACATGACCCTTCAGAGATCATGCTAATATGAGGATCTGGTTATTAATTTTTTGAATAGCCACCTGGGCACTTTGTATCAGCTCAGATGAAGGATTAATCACATCCAAAATAAAAGTTTTTGTTTACATAATATATGTGGGTGCACTGTGTATAATTATTTTGTGTGTATATATATATAAAACTACACACACACATGTGTATTTAAGAAAAATATATTATTTAAATATAAAAAATGTATATTTATATATAATATCAATTATATATAAATCTATACAGTATATACATGAAAATATTTCTTAAATATTTCTTAAATATATATATTTAAGAAAAAAAAATTATTTAAATATAAAAAATGTATATTTATATATAATATCAATTATATATAAATCTATACAGTATATACATGAAAATATTTCTTAAATATATACACACATTTGTGTGTATTTATTAGGGTTGGCTATCGAGAATCGAGTATCGATTGGAACCGGGACTAACTTTTCGCTTTTCCCGGAATCGTTCAAAAGTTAAAATTTCGATTCCTAGTTTCAATATTCACAGTCCGCCGAGCGGAAGAAGAAACCGCTGAACAACACCAATGAAGAAGCGTCTACCGGAAGTGTTGGCATAACCGCGCGAGTCGAACATGAGTACCTTACGTCGGCGATCCAAAGTGTGGCTTCACTTTTCTAAAAATAACGAAATCTGGGCAAAATTTGTGACAAAAGGAGTATTTTTACAGAAGGAGTATTTCCTTCAGAAAGGCCGTTGGTTAGCAAGGTTAGCTAAACTTTTTTGACCCTGCCTCTTAAAAGAATCGGAATCGAGAATCGTTAGGAACCGGAATCGAAACAAGGAATCGGAATCAGAATCGTTCAAATTCAAACGATACCAAACCCTAGTATTTATATATAAAATAATTATACACAGTGCACCCACATATATTATGTAAACAAAAACTTTTATTTTGGATGCGATTAATCGCAATTAATCGTTTGAAAGCCCTAATTCCGACTAGGCACTGTTGACAAAGTTAAAACGCCTTTATTTCATCATGGCTAAACCCTGTCAATGTCAAAAGCTTGAACAGAAAAGCTAAGAATGCAAGTGTCTGACCTGCTTGACGTCCTGCACGGACCTGAGCTCAAGGACGATGTATCCCACGCTCTCTCGGGCACACGAGCCGGAGTCCACGGCGTAGCACTGGAGCTTGATGGGAGTCCGCTGGAGCCTGTGGGAATCAGACCGAAGGCGTTTCCAGTAAAGACACTACACTGGGAAGGGTCACAGCGCTTACATTCCAGTCCTATTATTAGTTTCACTGCAGCTATGGTTCTCCTCATGTGTAAATCGCTTTCTAAATGATTACGTGTAAATTGCGCAAATTGAAATTGCAGACTGAGAATACGTCCAATGGAAACACGTCAATTTTGCAAAAAAGGTTTTAGGCTCGCATGAGGTGGTTTTCAGGCAATTTGAAAAAGGAATATTTCACAAAACTGCGCATTTACAGTCACCTGACGTACGTAAAGTTGATCATCCTTTAACGAAGGCGAGGTGTGTTTGGACAGAAGACGAGACAGAGTTCTTTATAAAAAAAACACACCTGTGCTGGTGCAGAGACACACACACACACACACACACAGACACACCTGTGCTGGTGCAGCGTCCGCCGGTCGAGCTCCCAGGCCAGTTCAGTGCAGAACTGTGGATGTTCTCGATGCTCCACCGCGTCTGTGGCCAAAGTCTCTCCGTCGAAGCGAGCCTCAACGACCAGAGAGAGCCGAGGACTTCTGGGAAACTGGCGGCCTGGACACACACAAACACACACACACACACATCAGATCCCTCAGCGTCACTCGAGAGCGTTTCAAAGCAGCAAATATAACACACCTATATTGTTATTTTGATGAAATAATCATCAAGTGTCCTCATATAGAAGCAAATAAAGTGAGAGACTACACATGTAATATACATTTATGCAATTTTAATGCTCTTTAACCATAGCAGACTCTTTGGATTAAAATGAGATGGTAACACTTTACAATAAGATTACATTTTTAGCATTAACTAAGAGTTAAATTGAGTTTAACTTTTATTTTATCCTTAGTTAATGTCCGATGAACTAACATGGATGATCAAGGTCCACTTGTCTTGCTCATTTATATATGCTGAAAAAAGTGTTACCTATGAAATGTACTCATGTCTCTTGGTTACAGCTAAAGAAACCTGTACGATTTTAATGTTTGAATTATTTTTAGTAAAATTCGTTCTGTAGAACTTCTCATTTTAACATATTCATAATTATTTAATTTAGTACATTTCAGTTAAGCACTGTTTTACTTAGGAAATTTGAAGTCATAATTATGATATCAAACAGTCAAAATTGAAATTCTGACTTAAGAATGTCACCATTCATTGACATAAAAAATCGGAGAAATTATGACATACAAGTCTTAAAAAGTCATATTCATAAATAAAAGGTTGAAATTCGGACTTTAATGTCATAAAAAGTCGAAATTGTCTTTAAATGTCACTGTCATGGTGCTTCACGGTGCTATATAGATAGAACACTATATATTTTTTATTGATGACATATTTATCAGCAAAATACACATTAAAAAAATAATTGTAGAACTAATGTGCGTGTTTTGACGCCATTAATCGTTAATATGACACCGTATTCACTTTGTTTGTATCGCAGGAGTCTTGAGTAATAAACCAGTTACCTTCAAGAATGGACACAACAATCAGCAGCTGCTCTGCTTTCGACGCCATGTCATCTCGAGTGTTAATTAAAGACTCTCATAATGATGCAGAGCTGATTTCATCTGTTGTTTACTTTCAGCGCGTCTGTTGTGTTCAAATAACGACGGTAACTGTCAGTCTGCGTCACTTCCGCCGGAAACAGCAGCGTGTTTGTGCGTGACTCGCGCTCCCCCTGTAGGACGGATGAACACGAACGGATCATTCCCGAAATAATGACACTTAATTTATTTTATGAGATTATAATAAAATAAAATAAAATAAAATAAAATAAAATAAAATAAAAAACTCGAAATTGCCAAAGTGTCAAAATTAAGGCATGAGCGATGCCAAGCCAAAAATATGATATACAAAGTATATTAATAAAAAGTTAAAATGCGGACTTGAATGTTATTAATTTTTTTAACGAAAAATATGACATACAAGTCGACAATATTATTTCAATATGCGAAATTCTGATATTAATGTAGGCTAATAATTTTGACATAAAAATCGAATTTATTACGTTTATGAGATAAAGTTGAAAACTAAAATTATGACTTTAAAAGTCAAAATTATTACATAAAAAGTATGTAAAATATTTTAAAAATTCTGACTTAAATGTCATGACAGAAAAAAAGTAAAAATTTACAGTCAAAAATATGACTCACGCCGAAATTATGACATACAAGTCAAATTATGACTTGGGAAAGTGATATTATTAAATAGTTAAAATTCTGACTTTAATGTCATATTTATGACATAGAAATTCAATATTATGACATTAAATCACTATTATGATCAGTAGAAATGATGACAGTCAAAATGATGAAATATGAAGTCATTATTATGTTATTAAAAAGTCTAAATTCTTTTTTAAAAAAAAGTTTAAATTCTGAATTAAATGCCACAATTGACAATTGAAATTCAAGCATATATGACATTAAAACAAAATTATGACATAATAGATCGAAATAATGGCAAAAACGTTTAAAAATATATATATATATAAAAAGTCATTTTCCTAAATAAAAAGTCTTAAAATGTCACTGTCAAAATGTCAATATCATAATTTCGACTTTTAAACCTGAATAGTATGAATTGCTCATCATAATTATGAGCTCATATGTCAGACTGTTTCTCTCATAATTATGAGGCGTTTTACACACACACACACGATCTCCGCACTGAATCATTCCCACAGAACAATAGGTTACTGTCGTAACCCCGGTTCTCTGAAACATCGAGTGGAGAGATCCACCTATGGGAAGGGCATCCGTACCTGACCTCTGCAGAAGCATCCAATTGCACCAAGTCTGGCTAGACAGACAGAAGCGCGCGGCCAGTGCCCGATGAGGCCACACCCCTCACCCACGGGCATATAACATCTGGGCGCGCTGCTATTCCTCAGTAAGTATATTCGCTTCTCGTGCGGCAAGCGGGGCAAAGCTGGTGGATCTCTCCACTCGATGTTTCAGAGAACCGGGGTTACGACAGTAACCTATTGTTCTCTTTCATCATCTCGTGTTCGAGATCCACCTATGGGAGAGACATGGACAGCTCCCCGATTGCCCAATACACTCACAGTGAGGTTCTGAAGCCAGAGAAGGACGGTCACCTCGGGGAGGCGGTGCCTGACACGTCCCTTAATCATGAGCCTGCGATGGTGAAACCACACCTAACTAATGTGGACAAGCAGGACATGAAATACGCATGGGACACATGCGAGATAGTAACCCCAACCCACCAAGACATAATCTATACCCGAAAGGGGAAGAAATGATAGGTGACAGGAATGAACATGGCCAGTCAGCCCATTCACTCTTAATGGTATATATATACCAACAGGGTTACAGCAGGGGGGGCTAAGACGACCCGACCCCTAGAACCGAATGTGCTACCGAGGTACTGGTGACATCCAGCCGGTAGTAGCGCACGAAGGTATGAGGAGAAGCCCAACTGGCAGCGGAGCAGATGTCCTGCAGTGACACTCCCCTAAACAGAGCCCAAGAGGTGGCTAAACCTCTTGTGGAATGAGCTCTGATGCCCCTAGGGGGCTGCACTCTCTTTGCTTTGTAAGCCATGGTAATAGCATCCACAACCCAATGTGAGAGGCGTTGCTTCAAAATTGGACTCCCTAAGTGAGGGGGAGCCCATGAAACAAAGAGCTGGTCGCTCTTCCGGAAAGCATTCGTCCTGGTCATATATGCCTGTAAGGCACGGACTGGACACAGAGCGTTCAGCCTCTGATCCTCTAGAGAGGTAAAAAGGTGGAGGGTGAAAAGCGGACAGCTCCAACACCTCCGAAGTGAACGCAGGGAAGCACTTCGGCATGAAGGCCGGGTTAGGCTTAAGGAAGACCTTATCTCCACTAAGAGAGAACTAGAGCACGAAGGATGAACCGAGAGTGCATGTAGCTAACTGACACGTTTAGCAGATGCCAAGGCCAAAAGCAAAGCTGTCTTGAGAGACAGCAGCTTAAGGGATATACTATCCAAAGGCTCAAAAAGGGTGTTGAGACAGAGCTTCCAGCACCATGGAGAGGTCCCACTCCGGGACAGTTCTCCTGACGACTGGCAAAGAGCGGTGTGCACCCTTCATAAATCTACGGATTAGAGGGTGCTGACCGACGGTCGAGCCCTCAAAACCCACATGACAGGCTGAAATAGCAGCCAAGTGGACCTTAATGGTGGAAAAGGACCTGCCTTTATCCATGAGGTCTTGAAGGAAACACAAAATATCAGGAACTGAACACTGATAAGATGTGAAACCGCGCCCATCGCACCACCCCTCGAACACTTGCCACTTACAGCCATATAAGGGCCGTGTAGAGACGGCCGTGGCATTCTGAATAGTGGTGACCACACGCGGCGAAAGCCCAAGTGCGTTCAGGTTCGTCCTCTCACGGGCCAGGCCCAGAGAGCCAACCTGTCCGGCTGGGGGTGGTAAATCTCACCGTTGGCTTGGGATAATAGATCCGTGCGAACGGGAAGGCACAATGGCTCGGCGTATAACAGAGGGATTATCTCCGCCAGCCACGGTGCTTTGGGCCATCTGGGTGCTATCAGAATGAGAGACAGGCCCTGCTCTCTCACCCTGGCCAATGTGGGAATATCAGGCACAGGGGAGGAAAAGCATACAGGAGCACTCTAGGCCATGGGTGGGCCAGTGCGTCTACCCCGAGGGGCGCGTCCACGTCCCTTAGAGAGAAGAACATAGGACAATGGCAGTTTCTGCGCGAGGCGAATAGATCTACGCTCGCCCGTCCAAATCTCATCCATAGCATTTCCACTATCTGCGGATGAAGACGCCAATCCCATAGATTGGGTTTCCCCTTGACAGCAGATGCGCCGACGTTCAGAATGCCTGGGACGTGAGTCGCGCGTAGCGACAAGAAAACCCGTCTGCTCCACACCAAGAGCTTGTGAGCTAGGAGGTGAAGTTTCGACGAGCGCAAGCTGTCCTGACGGTTGATATATGCCACAGCCATGGTATTGTCGCACCGTACCAGCACATGATGTCCCTGCAGGCGAGGCAGAAAATGATTCAGAGCTTTACAATTGGTAAAAAGCTCTAAATAATTTATATGTGCTGAACGTAGTCTGTTTGGCCACAGACCGTTCACCGTTTTGCCCTCCTGGGTGGCACCCCAGCCTGTTAAGGATGCATCTGTCGTCACCACTTTCCGCATCGTAACCGCCCCGAGAGGGGTTCCCCGTGCGTAAAAGTCTGCGTTCTTCCAATGGCGCAGGGCTGCAGTGCACGCGCGCGCGTCACTGTAACCGAGCGGCAAAGGTCGCGAATCGGGCTGAAATGTAGCGACAAAACCATTTCATGAACGCCCTCATCTTAAGGAGTCCTAATGGCACAACTTGGGTGGATGAAGCCATGAGACCCTGCATCCTGAGACATGTGCGATATTGCACTTTCGCCCCTTCTCTGAACTGTGACAGACAGCTCATAGAGAGCGAACGCGCTCTAGAGAGAGACGCGCTCGCATGGCAACCGAGTTCAACTCCAAACCCAGGAAATTGACATTTTGACTGGGCGTGAGATTGCTCTTGCCCACGTTCACTTGGAACCCGAGCGATGTGATGTGCGCGAGCACACGGCCGGTGTCCTGCAACACCTTCTCCTTCGATTCGGCTATGATGAGCCAATCGTCTATGTAAGTCAGGATTCTCAGACCTGTTATTCTCAGAGGCGTAAAGCCCGCCTCCGCGCACAGACAGAAAGACCGGGGACTCAAACTGAGTCCAAACAGAAGAACTGTGAATTCGCAACATATGCCCTGGTAGGCAAAACGAAGAAAATTCCTGTGCGGAGGATAAATGCTTATGAGAAAGAAAGCATCTTTCAGATCGACTGATGTGAACCAGTCGTTCTGTTTTATGGCACGGGCGAGAGCGCCCTGTGTCAGCATTCTGAAGGTGTATTTCCTCAAATGTTTGTTCAACACTCGAAGGTCCAAGATAGGGCGGAGAGAGCCGCCTTTCTTTGGAACCAGAAAATACCGGGAATAAAAACCCTGGTTCATCAGATTGGGGGGTACCACCTGAATCGCTCCCTTGTTTAAGAGAGATGAATTTTCCTCTTCCAGAATGTGAGAAGCTTTCTCTTCCGTGTGAGAAAAGAGAATGCCGTTGAAATGAGAGGGTTTTACTGTGAATTGCAATCTGTAACCCTGCATTATTGTACGCATAACCCACTCGGGAGCCGAAACGGTTCGCCAAGCCGCTTCGTGACTCGCGAGTGTCCCCGCTCGGGACAGAGCAGAGCTGTGTCTTGAGACCAACAGAATTATTTGTGATGCAATGACGCCATCTCGTGGGCACACTAGAGGCGACATGCGGGGGTTCGGAGGGGTTTCCTCTCTCTGAAAGAGAGTTTTTCCTCCGAAACGAATTTGTTAGATTCGTTATTATTTGTGTTTGTGTGTTTTGTGTTGGGCAAACACTGCGTGAACTGGGCAAACATAGTGTGGTGTACACTGTGCTAAACTTTACCCACAAGGAGCCCCTTGAAATTGGGGGGAAAAACACACATCTCCTGAACACATGAACTGGGCAGTCTCAAGTGCAGGCAGAAAATACTATCCATTTTTAAGGATATATAAGAATAGTTTGTTTAAACGTGTATTTAGTTATGTGTTGGG